AATACAAGTATAACAAAGTAGTTATATTCCTCTTATATATTTTAAGATGATTATAATTGATCTAATGTTCAAATATGCTGTAAAAAGAGCTAGTAATTTCATAAAGATATTATTAAAAGTGTTAAAATTAAATTATCAAATTGTGTGGCAGGTAATTGTATATGGTCTCCTACACGCTTTTGTTACCCCTTCGTGGTTCTACATAAACTGGAAAAAAGTGGAATTGGCTTGGTTCGGAACTCATGAAAAAGCGATGACACAGCGGGCAAAGTAAATGTGTAAAAACCATTGGCAGCTTGATTATGCTGCTTAACGGCGCGAAGTGATTGACATATCCATTCTTGAATTTGTGCCAGCAATTGCAGTGAGCCCAATATAAAGCTGTTCCATTTTATTTACTCCTATTTTATTTACTTCTACCTCACTTTATTGATTTTAAGCGCATTGCACTAGCATTGATTTCAGCTTCGGCTCTTTTAGCAAAAGTTTGCCGAAATTTCTAACCACCACGAGAAACTCGCGCAACTTTCATTTATCATGAATAATTTATTAATTTCAAAGTTGCCACTGTGGCAAAGGAAGCAGAGGCAGCAGCACTTGTTGCAGTTGTTGCTGCTGCCGTTGGCTGCCTCAGCTTTTTGTTTAAATTTTCAAATGACAAAACTTTGCACATGGCAAGCGTTTTTTGCGCTTTTGGCATTGGCCAAAGTTTTTAATTAGTCTTTGATAGAAAAGCCACCAAACGCGCGATCCCGATCGTTTGTCCTAGTTTTGTGAAATTTTCTGGAATCTGTATCCTTTTGTCGCGCACTGTTATGGGGGTTAATCAAAGTTCAGTGCACCTGGGGCCGCTTAGCTCTTAGATTGCAGCACTGAAGTTACCGTGTCGGCTTCTTGTGATGTGGCCACTGGCAAAACCATAATTACGCATACGCCACGCTGCATGCAAAAGACAACCGCCGTTTGGGGCTGGAAAATTGTCAGTGTAAATGCAAATTCGTATCAAACTACGAGTCTGAAGCGGGCGAGGAGCAACTTGCCTGCCATGTCAGTTTGTCACACTTATCGCTGCGGCAACGGGACGTATACGTTATGCAAGTCCTTGCAGCGACACATGAAGTATGCGCCCCGTTGCATCTCCCTCCAACTGCATCTGTATTTGTGTCTGCCATTCGAATTCCTTTACTTCTTCGTCTGGCATTTGTTTAATGTTTTTATGTTGCATTTTTGCTTGAAATATGCACACGCTACTTTTATTGCCAACTCCCCTCTGGCAGCTCTCTGGGATTTTCGTGCTCGCCTGCATTTTACACATGGCAGCCCCATAATATCAAGTTTGCAGAGACAGCATCGTTTTCCCTTTTCCCTTTTCTTTTCCCTTCCCCTTCTCTTTCTGTTTCCCGACCCCTGGCACCCATTGTTTAGCTCTAATTGCTTTTTCGCTTAGTTTTCATGTCGGTGCTCGGCTGGCTTCTGGTTCTTGATTTCCCTGCCGCATCGCATCGCATTTCCGCTTCCTGTCCCAGCTATATCTATAGCCCACACACCCTTGGACGGCAAAGTGAAAGTAAATACTTAATTATACCGAAAAGGGATGGCGCATTTCTTGCTCGGCTTACAAGCGGCTTACATTCTGTGCATCCTGCCAAAGTGTGGGGGACAATTTTAAATCGAGTTTAAGCTGGAAGTTCTGCTTGGCCATTTGTGGTAATCAATTTGACTGGGAAAAATGTGCCAAGTATGCCAAGTATTTCAAGTATCTCATAAATACAATGAAACCGTACATCAATTTCCTCTCCCCCCACACTTCAGCAGCACTCAATTATCTGTCTCCGACGGCTTGGGTCGAGTAAAGTCAAGTATGTGCCAGGGCCATCTTCAATTGCAATTTATTTCCGACAACTACTGCACTTGCAGAACTCTTATTACCTTTCATTGGCTTCACTTCGATTAGGAGCAGCCAAAGCCATAAAACTAAGCAATTTGCATCTAGCACTCCTCGCTACGCCCCCACCTGCGCTTTTCCGGGCTCTTTAAGTTCGAGCTTGATCCCCAGCCAATTTATTTTTATGCAGCAAATTGCAGTGCGCTTCCCTTCGTCGTCCTGAGGATTTGCTGTCATTTGCGTACTTTATTTCTGCCACTGCAGTGCACTGGTCAAAGGCAGAAGTTTCCTTGGAGGCAGTGAAACTTTCTAATATTTTCAGCACCTCCGCACAAACGATAAGATCTCTCGCACGCTCTCCTCAGTCTTTCCTCGTCCTGCGTCTTAATTAGTTAAATTCTATGCATTTTCCACCGGCACACCGGGGAATTGGCCAGGGAAAAATTGTAACCGGCAAAGGTAAAGCGGGTGAAAAAAAAAAAGAAAAGCTCGACAAGAACAAGTTTCGCTCTTTTGGCATAACTTTGCTAATCTTTTGTTACGCCAAAGTTTCGATGTAGATAAAATGTGGCAAATAAAAATTGTTCAGGCGTGTGCTGAAAGTTGCCTGGGTCATTTGCCGCCGGGCAGCGAAGTAAGTAGTGTCAAAAAGTTAAGCAACTGGTTTTTAAAAACTATTTTATTTCATAAAAAAATGTACCTACAATTTTTATATACTTTGCTTACAAATATAATACGGATGTCTAAAAGATCCAACAAAAACTCCTCTTGATGAGGTTAGAATATGGTGACAATCGCACCTTCAGCACCAAAAATTGTTGATTTTTTATTTCTAATGTTTTAATTATTATTTAATTTAACAAAAAATTAATTTTAGCTTGTTTTATTACTTTCGTATTCTGCACAAGGCTCCACAATTAAAACAAGCTTTGATTAGCAATATTTGACTCAAAATTGTTATATATATTTGTATTTCAAACTGATCACTAATATATGTTTTTTTTTTAACCCAAGTAATTTATTAAACTTTTATATTTGCTTCATTTGTAACTATGCAAAGATATTTCTTATTATTCATACAATCATAATAATACTGGTATTGGTGAAATAGGAAAGATATATATTCAAATGTTAACCCTCCTCCCCATCCTATTCAAATAAATAAAAAAATTTAGAAATCGTTGCAACTTATACACTTTAGCTAGACAATTTCTTCTCTCTTTTGAACTGATAAATCGTGTTAACAAACCCATATCGTTGTCGCATCATTTATGTGCATTTTCGGTATTTTTCCGCACTTCCCGTCAATGCAACTGACAAGTTTTCAATCTCAGCTCGCCGACAGCGTCAAAAATAATTGCAAAATGCATCAATCAGTTGTCAGGACTGCGACTCGTCTATCCTTCAGTTCGGAAAAATGTACGATAAAGTTTAGCAGAAGTTGCCGTCGTCGGTTTGTCAGATGCACTCGCTGTATTAATGCCACAACAGTTCATATTTTGACATGTCCACAGTCACGAACACAGCCACAAGCTGAACGTATTTCAATTTGTCCTCTGCAACACTTGAAGGAGTCGTAACTGCTCATTAGCCGGGATTACGTCTAGACCGCATTTCCGATAATTACTCTTGTATTGGCAGACGGCAAAAGTTTTTCGGCCCGAAACTAAATCGAGCACAAAGGCCACCACAGCAGCCGCAGGAGCAGAGGGGCAGCTACAAGGAGCAGGACTTGGGCTTGGTCCTGGGATTATGGCCAGAGGACAAAGCGCAATCAGCAAGTTGACTGCGGTTTCTCGGCCGACCCGTCCTGTCCCCCCCCTCCACCGGTTTGTTCGCCTAGTTGGCCAGCTAATGCGGTCGATGTCGCCGTCCTCTGATTGATTTTTACATGCCGCTTTGTGGGCGATACTCCACTCCACCCCAATCCCCCCCAATCCCCTTCCATCCCCTGGGCCTGGCTGTAATACTTTTAATTGACAATTGCGGAAATGCACGGATAAAAATCCAACAGCCGACCACACAAAAGTTTTCAATATTTCAGCAGCAGTCGACGGGCGGTGGACAACTGACGGAATGAGACGGCAGTTCAATATCCAGAATGGCATTCACATGTAAACGGGAAACAAGCGAATTGGTTAACAGAGAAACCGCAAAACCTTTTAATAATGGATAGGCCGTTGAGGAATGAGCTATTCGATGAGGGGGCAATGTCCTACAAAATGTGTGTAATTGCCATTTGGATTTTTAGGGATTCGGTGATAATTTATTTAAATGAAGAGTATCTGCGTATCAGCACACAGGAGTATATTTGATATAGAGGGAGGTTCCTATATATTCGTAATATATAACATTCGGATTTTTAGGAATTTATATTTTTAGGGACTCAGGGATAATTTATATAAATGAAGAATATCTGCGTATAAGCACACGGGAGCATAGTTGATATAGTTTATATTTATATTCTTAAATATTTATAATAAATAATACACATCATATCAGCTGTCAATTTTTCTAACAATATAGATTAACATTTGGATTTTTAGGGATTTGTATTTTTAAGGATTTAGGATAATTTGTTTAAGTAAAGAATATCTGCGTATGAGCACACAGGAGTATAGTTGATATAGAGTGATGTTCTTAGATATTCGTAATATCTAACAATTCGGAATGGTACACGACCATATGCTAGCAGTTTGTCATCGGAGAAACCAACTTCCAATGACTTCTTTAGTTCCCGACTTTAAATTTAAAATTAACGAGCGCCGAAAAAGCAGATGAAGTGTTTTAAAACCATGTTTTGAAGGTGTATTGAGAGAAATGGTTTGAAGAATCCAATAGTGTATTGATCATCAAGGCAAAATTTTGGAAAGCAATAAAGCTTTCCTTTTATTTTCTATTCCGAAATAACAATAGTTCAGCTACAAATATCGTTTGCAATGGTATAACACTAAGCACGCCGTTTTGACTCCCAATCGATTTAATTTAGTTAATAAATCGAATCGAGACTAACTGATACAGCATTACTAATTATTCTCATATATCAAAGCATTTGAAACATCGAAACTGGCTAGCCATATACCACTTGCCATGAACTGAATTTTAGTAAGCAGCAATGGTTAACCTTGTAAGGAAGTGTCTGATCGTGTCCTATTTTTATGGACGTATTTCCGGCGTTCTGAATTTTGAGATCGATATTAAAACGGGTCGAACGCTGGTCACCAAACGAGCTACAATATGTGCTGCCGGCTTGCACTTGTTCATTTTCATCACACCAATTTACCATCTGATTCATACTCATGGTTTGCCCAGTGTGTGGAATTCTCTTAATTCTCTTCAAGCATACTTCTTCGTGGTGGCATCAGGATTGCGGATGATTTGTGTTTTCTTGGCTTTGGTCAGTCGATGGTCCCAGGGACGGACCTTCCTGCGGCTTTTCAACTCATTCCGCCGCCTTTATCAAAACAATCCGGACATAATCAAGCTCTGCCGCAGAAGTATCGTTAGCAAGTGCTTCTTTGTCTTACTGTCGGATGCCCTAAATGCCATATTCGTTCTTCTTTTGATGCAATATCAACTAACTATTTCATGGACTCTTCTAATTTGTGTCATATTCTGTAAGACGGTGATTGTAAATGCGATCTCAACACAATATTTTATTGCTATAGCGAGTTTACGAGGACGCTACATCCTTTTAAACAAGAATCTGCAAGCGATTATAGTCGAAGCACAGTCGTTAATAGCAAACAGAGGTGGTGCTTTTAAGACTAGATGCTGCTGCCTCGCCGATCGGCTGGAGGAAATCGCCCGAAACCAATCTGAATTACAAGAGCTCATCGATGTTTTTTCAAGAGCATACCAATGTCAGGTCGTATGCATTATACTTACTTACACTCTGAATGGAGTGGGACTTTTATACTTGTTGTTCAGCTTAAAAAAACGCATTATTATTACGGAAAATGGTTCAATCATCATTATAGTTTTAAGCACTGCTACCATAGTGTTTTACCAACTCAATTGCTGGCTTGACGCAAGCAACGTATTTTACCTACTCAAAGCTCACGGTAATATGGTCGCACTTCTGAGTCAAATGACTCTTATTCAGCCAGGATTGGATAGCAGATTAGAAACAGTAGTGAGTGATCAACAATCCTTAAAAATAATAAGATCTTTTAAGTTGTTAAATTTCTTTGCAGTTCGAGGCCTTCACTCTGAATCTGGCCAGAAATCCATTAAAGCTGCGATCTCTTGGCTTATTCAAAATGGATCGAGAATCGTTTTATGCTAGTGGAAAGTTCTTGTTGACATACTCACTAATGTTAACCCAATATGATATTGAACATTTCTAAATTGTTTGGAGTGAAAAATCTCAAAGGGAAAAATCTCAAAGGGAGAATAAATATAATGCTTATAAAATTGTAATTACATTTTTTACTTTTTAAATAAAATATCAATTAAAATATTAAATTTCTCCTACAGCTACTTTTCCTACTTTGTTTTTCTACTTTTCATCTGATTGTATTTGGACAACATTTATAATCGATATTATCGGTGGTGTAAAAAACTTTTTTTTTTGAAAATCATTACAGTGTTGCTTATTTAATTTTAATATTTTTATACTAATAATTATGCAATTTTTGTTTAGATTTAATCATTAATACAACACAATTTTCTCCGAAGCAACTGCATTTTGATAATCATGTTAAAATACGCCCCATCTAGGAGACGCATTTAATATTCTTGAAGCGTTTTGAATGTTACGCAACACGACTCGTTCGCATAAGGCAGACCCGCAATTCCCAAAATATCAATTATAGGACCGAAAAATACGAGCCGTCTTGCGACGGACCAGCGGGCGAGAGTCGGAGTCCGTTCTAATATAACGGGTAATTAAGGCATACGCAGACAGGCGGACGAGGCAGTACCAATCTCTCCGGTTTCCGTTCCTCTTGGGTTTCCCGGCCGCATTTCGAATGCTGGCAACGTAATTTGGCAATTTACGTGGACGCTGGTCGGCGGCTCTAGTAACACAAAACTTATATGCGGGTGTTGAATTTCAATAAAATATGCAAGGTAAGTGATATGGCGGCCAGCAACTGGCATTACTTGCCACTCCAACTTGCCACCCCCCGTTCCGCTCCTATTATTCAGGCCGTTGCGCAAGGATGGTTAAAATAAATTAAAAATGGTGAATGCATATTTTGCACATTAATTGAAGATGACCGCTCATTAAGCTCGTCGGAACAGTGGAATAAACGGAGCTGCACTCGAAGCACGCATACCACGTCCTAATTGGAATACACTTGTCAACATGGTTGCTGCAAAATGTATACCTTACATTCATGGGCAACCGATTTTATTCCATTAAAGGAAATATAATTAAACATAATTAAATTAATTATATAATAAGTATATAATAGCGTCTTGGTTTAAAAAAATTATAGAGGGTTAGTAGTTTATATACCCTTTTTTTAATTACACTTATTCACAGTTTTACGAAGTAAAATGAAGTTTAGTTAAAAGTTTGTTTTATTATAATACAATTCTATGTAATGTTTTTATCCTTTTAATATTTATTATTTATTATTATTAGTGTTTACAATTTACTTAAGTCATTGGTGACTCAATATTCCCAGAGTTAATATTTAAATGTATGTAATTAATGTATTTTTTATAAACCGTAATCCTGATGACCAGTGTAATCCACTGTGTATTCACTACTCCATTGCCATGTAAATTGAGGGGCTTTAGCCCGCCCTCATGCATTTTCATTCAACTCCGACCGATAATTAAGATGTGAGGCAAGTGGACGCCAATCATTTCGATAAATATTTAAAACGACAAACGCGGTCGGCATAAATCAATGGAAAGTGTAAGGCATCATTGACAGGCTCAACCGCTACGGCAACCAAATAAATAAACACATTCGGGCAGATTTATTAGCACGTATGCAGGCCGGTCGGGCTGGACAATCGAGGCCCTCATTATGGTAAGTGATTCGCAGCCTTGGCCACTTCCGCACCCACATCCACATCCACAACCAGAGTACAGAGTACAGAACCCAGAATCGCAGGAGGCAGCGGGCAATTGATTTGGCATTTGCCTTTGATCGATTAGAGCCATCAAAGCAGCGCCCTCTGGCCCGGCAGCCTATTTACTTTTGCTATGAGAAATGACCGGACCCGTCCGGAATGTTTGCCATTTCATCACGGAACGCTCCGCTGGGCCGCCCGCCGAGCGAAGTGCCAGCGCACGTTTGGGGCCCCATTTGTTTTTATGCCCCAGTCCAAAGGGACGAAATGGAGGGGAAGGCCCAAAGGAAGGGGCCTGCACCAATCCGAAAGGTATTCAAAAATTCGCTAGCCTATGCTAGGGATGAGCTATACTTTCGTGAAAATACCATGGACTATCTTTTCTTTGATTATGTCTTATATGTTTTAAAAACTCAGTTTAATTTTGTTTTTCGTTTTCATTTTTAGTTGCTTGATTACCTTTTTTCCTGTTTATAATTTTAAGGTATTATAAAGCCATATAATATTTCGGTATACTTTTATTTTGAAAAATGTTGATATCTTCAGTCACGAGATCATCCATAGCTGAAAATTTGTGGAATTTTCTTTTTATGATTCCACTTTTGGCTGGCCCTTTCTTTATTTGCTTAGTGTGTGCGTTTGGGGAGGGTACATTTTTTTGGGGATAGGGATTTTCGGGAACTCGACCCACCATTTTCTCTCATACCAGCACCGTCTGAAGCCTTTTGTGAACTGAGCAAAGTTAAAAACGGCGCTAATTTTATGACGGCCCAACTTTGGCACTTGTCAAATGGAAAATTTCATACCCCAAGGGCTGCTTTGTTAGCCGGAGGGGTTTCTTGGGCCCAAAAGTCTCACGCCCTGGCCCAGTGGTTTTTATGCTAATGTGGAGAGTAAGTGCTAGTGGGCGGTTGAGAGCTGCAGATCTTTTGAGGTTTGCAGTGGTCTTTAAGCCAACACTGGGCGTCCTTAAGCCGCCCTGCTAACTCCAGCAGTTGGTGGGTCTGACTTGGCTGTTTGTGTGTTAATTACTGCGGCGTGTGCGGCACTCGTGAATCATGACTTCCGACTTGCCAGCCATCCCGCCACTCCGCCACTCCGCCATCCCGCTTTCTAATTATGTTGCAGTGGAGTTGGTGGCAACAAAACAAACGGCAAGGCAACAATTCAACCGCAAACGCATTTAGTTCATGTTGCACACACAGCAAGGGAATCTAGTAAATAGTTTACCGAAATCAGAAGGAGGGGGCCTAGGCTACTGCGTTTTGGGGCTGTGATGGAGTGTATTCAGGTACACATCTAGGTACTTAGCTTAAATACATCTTACCTCAACCAAGCATAATACATTCTTCGGCTGAGTAAATATGAATAAAAAATTAATACCAAGGAGTAGTTGTTTTTATTTTTTTTTGTTTATATCCTTTTGAAAAGGAAATAAACTCCTTATGTCTTGATACTTAGTTTTCGTTTAAATATGAACATTAAGGAGTTCTAAACAGCCAGTTGTCCTTCGTGTTTATTTTGAATAGGCTGTATTTGAATTCCCACTAATTAAGATCTAAAAGTGATCGCATAAACTTACTCAAAAAATTAATTTGTTGTACCATAAGATTAAAAAGTGCTTTGTAAAAAGGAGAGAAAGAAGGAAGTGCATAGCTAACATTTATGTTTGATCATATGTACTGCATATTTAATAATTTTTTTATAAGTGCGGTTATAAATGTCTACACTTTAGTCGAATTAATTAGGTTAAATAAATGTTTCAATTTAATTTTATTTAAGAAAAGTGGCTTGTAAGTTAAATTGTACTTCAGGTATACCTTTTTCATCTCTGGCTTAAGGGGTGGTTGGTGGTTACTCGGCGGTAAGTGGGTTGTTCTCCATGTCACTGCAATGCACACGGCGACCTCATAATAAAGGCATCCTCCCGCCTGTTTGTGTGTGCGAGTGCTTCAGCATTTCTCAGCTGCCGCATGTGGCAAGTGCGGTAGACCGTCAATTTGTGCAAATGCTTTCAGCTACCTAAGTCAGTTGGCTTCGACCGGGCTGAATGCCAACCAGGCTGGTTTATTTGCTCAGCCAAATTTGTCTTAATTCATTTGGATTAACGACGGGCCAGAAGAATGTTGTGCTAAGACCCTGGCAGGAGATGAATAATTCATTTACTCAGCCAGATGATCCATCAGATTCAGATTCCAATTCCGTTTACTATTCCCCCAAAAGAAACGAACGAGGCGTTTAAAATGTTTATTATTATGCTAGTTTTATTTACCATCTTTGTTTGCTGTCATTATGCTTTCACGTTGGTTTCGGGCAGTTAAATGCAATTCGATAACAATATGTCTGCTAAATATTAATAAATATATCAAATGTCCCGCTCCGTATGTTGCTCATTTCCATATGTTTACTTTGGTAATATTTTACAAATAAATTGAAATTTATACACATGGTTATGCACGACTATATACGGTAGGGTGTAAAAAAAAAGGAATCTCAAAGGTTTCCGGGCAACGTTAATACTCAATCAATGAAAATGAAAGTGTCATGGCACAAAATACAATTTTTTATATTCAACTTTGATTTAGACTTACAGCTATGTTTTTTAATACTAAATGTTTTTTTGATCTCTTTAATATTGTAGTCATGTTGCTGTGGGCAAAATTTGCTTGATTTGCCTTGTCTTTTGTGGCGGTGTCAATTGAGTTTTTTCATTCGGGCTTGGCACTGTCTCTGGTTTTATTATCTGATTTGATTCGCAGTTCTTCCTAGCAACCCATTTCCAGTTGTCCGGTTCCATACGTATTTGTAGATATATATATAAATACTTATTTATTTAGACAGTTTACCATTCATATTCATAGGTATTTACGCTTGCACTTGCACATACATATATCTCGGTAGTTTTATTTGAATTTTCTGTTTACTATTGATATTAAATTTATTTATGCACTTTAGCGGCTTTGTTTGATTTGAGTTTTGATTTTGTCATAGATTAAATAACTAAAATTGAGTTTAAATGCAATTCACCTGCAACAGTTGTTGTTAGAAGTCTCCCCTGGCTTATAAAACATTTAGGCTCCCAAAAATACCGAAAACCATAAGGAATGTAAGCATAACCCGAAGAATTATTTGATTTTAAAAATAAAATCTCTAACCAATTTTATGCACACGCAAATTCGAGCTAACAAGGATAAATTCATAAATATTTTACAATAGTTTTAAGTATTTCTCAATTAAATTTTTTATTTTCATCTTGTTATGTTAGTTTGGATAATCTTAGTACCATTTTTAATGCCTTTTGATATGACTTGATCATTGTTATGGTATTTCGCTCCTTTCTCTTATTGTTATAACGTTCAACTAGTGCCCATTTATGTGGCATCTCTCATTTTTTTTTATGTACAATAAAGAATGTGAACCATGCCAATGCAAAATATACCAAATATGCTAAAATTTAACTACACTTAGAGTTTGTTTTTTTTTACAATTATTAATTACAGCTACATCCGGTTTGCCCTGTCCAATTTCAATGCGGAAGTATGCGGCTCTTGTTGTTGCTTGATTTGGCTCACAATTCAAACTTTATATCTAGCCTATCCTAATAGTTAGTAGCTACTCATAGGGGGCCAAGGTAAAACATTTTTTTACCTAGTAAAGTTATGTATATATTTGTAAAACAAAACATAAATCTCGTTTATAACAAAAATGGATTGAAATTGTCTAAACGTAATAATCTGTAAAAGTTCTTCCAACTTTTCGCAGCTCAGAAATCAAAACAATTTCAATTAAAATAAATTTAATTAAAATTCTGCTTTTGAGCCTCTCGTCTCATTTTTTCAGTTGTTTGTTTTGCATTCATGAGCTGAACTATGGGTTAAACTATTTTCTTTATTTAGCGCTAATTAATTTATTACAATATTTGTTTTGGGCCCCCCTCTGACACTCGCTTTGTATTCATTAGCGTTTTTTCTTTGCCCATATTTTCTGTAATTTAATTATAAACAAATAAGCGACAACAAATCCCGCAATGATAATTGAGGAGGAAAAAAAATGAATATCCCGCTCTGAACACTTATCCCATGTTTTGTGCGTGTTTTCACATTTTTCCTGTTAGCTATTGAGTTGCGGCGCATGTGTTGTTTATTAAAAATATTAATCAGTCATTTGAATGCAATGAATTGCAGTGTTTATATATGTAAGTATGCAGCTGGCCGCGTATTTCTGTGTGTGTTTATGGTTATTTCGTGTTTAGCATGTTGTCTCTTCCGCCTCGTTTATGTTGTCATTCGGTTGTTTGCCCTCATTTTCCCGCCCCACCTGACTGCATCTCATCCGATCCGATCCTCAGCACAACTCAGCTCAGCTGACTGTTAACAGTAATGCAATAATTTATACCATTCATTTGCATTGCATTGCTGACAGACTAAAAAAATTTGCCAACTGATTGCGCAGCGCAATTATTTGAATTTGGCCACATAAATAAAGCTGCATACTTTGTTGCATCGCTCAGCGTCGAGATTTATTGTTGAAATTCTGGTGCACTTATTGCAAATTTATAACCATTAATATCGCAAGCAATCGCTCCTCAAGTGGGCCAAGAATATTATGACATATTCTACAATTTTCACTTTTGCAATCCATTTTATTTAAGTTCGTGGCATGAAAAGAACAATGCTTTTGACTTAAAACTGCATCAGATTTTAATGCTAAGGTGCATGCTTGAAATGTATTTTTTTAATTCAGTTAAATCTTTAAACATTTTGGCACTGTTTTTTGTAATTGTTCATGAAATACAGAAAAAAGGGTTTTCAAACATTATATAGAATAAGCAGAACAATGGGTTCATTGGGAACATTTCAAAATAACTTTGCTTAACTTCGGAGAAAGTTAGAAGGTGCGAAATAACGAAAAATTTCCTGCCAACGCCTCAAAGTATGCAGCATTTTATGAGCTCCTGTCCGTGTGTATGTGAATGCAGATGTTTGGCGGCTTTTCAAGTGGTACTTACAACTAGGTGTCCTTATTGCTAACCCATCCGAGCACTTACTTGCCATACGGATGCTGGTTGATGTCCGGCGAGTGGCGCATCAGAGTGGCACTACCGCTGCCCGGCGACAAGGTGAGGCTGCCCTCGTGGCTGCCGTTCATGCTGCCCGAGCAGGTGGCCGGAACGGATACGTTGACGGTGCCGCCGTGGCCACCGTGGCCACCGTGACCACCGTGACCACCACCCATCATCTTCTCCGTCTCCTGGCGACTGTTGGCCATTATCCGGCGGATCGTGGGGGCGCAGGGGGTGCGTCAGAGGCGCGACTCCTGCGCGTGCTCATGTCAGACCTGCCCGTGGGCGTTCATGTGCAGGGCGTCCCCGGTGTCGGGGGCGTGGCCGAGAGCTGGGCGGGCGGGTAATACTGCAACGAGGCACAATTGAGATACTGTGCGTGGATTAGAATCAATGCCCGGATACACATCGCTAGTGCGTTAAAAATAGAACGCATTTTCACAGTTTTGTAGCTAGGAATTGTCACTGACACAGACAAAAAAAACATTTTAATTTTTATCCTACGTTATTTTTTTTATTTAAGAAATAATTAGCGATTACTTTTACGTTAATTTTAGTCTATCATTATGAAAAAACCTTAAATATTTTTTTTAATTGTGATTTAAAAATAAAATTGAACATTTTCAGAGACTTAGAAACATGTTTTTGAAATTATATTTCGGTAGATATATATATATTTATTATATTATATATATATTATTATATATTATATATTTCTGAATGTTCCGTGCTCACAAGTCAACAAGTTGGTGAAAGCAAGTGTAGAATTGATACTTTAAACTGTATATATGTTTTTTAAACTCACCCCGACGCGTCCATTGTCGTAGTCGCGGCTCGCTTGGATGGTCAATTTCGCTTTGGCGTGCATGGTGTCCGTCAGCGCACTCCTTTGATGTGTGGACGGCATCACGCCGGGCACGGCGCTCGAAGGGCCCAGCATCATGGAGCCGTTGGCCTTGCCCAGACTGCCGCCCCCCACTCCGCCCAGCCCCATGCCCATGCCCATGCCCATTCCCATGCCGGATCCGCCGGAAGCGGAGCGCGAGTCTTTGCTCCGGAAACAGTACTCCAGGATGGCCACGAACACGCTGACAAGCAGGCCGCCAATCAGTATGTAGAATATCCCAGCCACATTGCTCAGCGATAGCTCGTTGTGCGAGGCGCCCTCCTTGTGGGTGCTGCACTCCGTTTTGTCGTACCACCATTTGTTGCGCAACTTGATCAGCTCGCCGTTCTCCTTCAGCGTCAGCACGGCCAGATTGATGGGGTCCCTGTTGGGTGGGGGGAGGAGAGTGAAGGTGGCTTTGTTAAGTATGTGGGTTAGCTTTCATCTCTGGTTCGCAACTCCCCAGCTCCTCACCCTAAAAGGCATCAATTTCGGACTGCCTTACAGCACTCGGATTCCGTTCCTACACTGAGAGCAATACCTTTAGGGGATTTACGGGGAATTCCGATTTGGAGAAACAATTTTAACTCGAAACAACGATACGTTAAGTAAGTAAATGGATTAAGCATGCTTTCAACTGCTGATAAAATGCCGTCTTTAAGAAGTATTTTCTATAAAATACTGATTTGTATTGCCATTAAAGCTTAGTATAAAATCAATTGGAAAATGAATATTTTTATAATATCGAAAAAGGATGCCATAAAATTTGGGACACCTGATTGGCACATTTTTTACGTAATTTTTGGTCTATATAATATAATAAATGGTCTTTAAGGGGTGGTTTTGATAGGGTTTCATTGGTTCCAAAAAAATATTATTGCATCAAACAAAAACGTTGAATTGTAATATAAAATTCTTTATGTCTAGCTGTAAAATGGGTCTGTAAATGCCCAACTTAAGAAGCCCCATTTCCCCGCAGTGTACTCACTTGAGCGCCGAACCGAGCGGCGTGGCGATGCCAAATCCCTTTGTATCCAGATTGCGGCCCACTTTCATTGTGTCGCAGGGCTCGCGGGCGTTCACATACTCGTTTTTGGGGGACTCCACCAGCAGGGCGTACTTGCCCTTGGAGGTGCGCACGCGTTTGATGCCCTCGTCGTAGGTATTCACGAAGACGTGCTTGCGCGAGTTCATGTACTCCCACATCTTGTTGTGGAGTCCGATTTGGGAGCGCTGCGGGCACAAAGGACGAACGAACGAAAATATAAAGTGCGGAGTACGGATAAGCCGGAATGGGCACGCCCTATATATAGTATAGTATAGTACGTATACGCCTCGGCATCCCGCGACAGTCGAATGCAGGCGGATAGGGACACCCGTTTTGGCCAGACATCCATCAGCATAATGTTCCTAGTCGACTACCAACGACTGTCGCCCTATATATGTACCCCAAATATATAGAAATATCTGCTCACATGGTGAGGCAGCAGGGCGTAAGTGTGCTTAAAAGCATCTCAAATAAATGTAGCCATAAAAAATAGAATTGCGTCCCATTTCTTTTGCATTTTTGGCCCGATTGACGGCCCGAGAAATGGAATGTGGATTGCTGAACGAAGGGATGGGTGGGTGGGCGTGCATAAAGGGGCGGTGACGGGCGGCAAATTGCTTTTTATTCCTCGTCTAACACAAATTAATCCTTGGCCCGGCTGGGGCCTCTCAATTTTGACGTCTCAAAAGGCTCAGCTCGCAAATTCTAATGGTTTTCTAGCTCTTGACTGTTGGCTTTTATTGTCTTTGATTCGCCCATTGTGCGGTTGTCAAATGAGTGTGACATGAGCACCCTAAATTAATTTGGCTGCTAGGCAATCGGGACTCTTATGTCTCTGGGGAGTCTGATAAAAAAGAAAGTACATAGGTATGCAGTAAAAATAATTGAGAACAGCATATTTTAAAGCTCCAGCCAATGATAAGTGCCTACCAGATAGCACACTTTAATGATTTTTTATAGATTTCTTTTATTACTTTTCAAGACGTTTTGGTTTTAAAAATCTTTGAAAAATAGGAGTATTTACTTTGGCCTTTATATTTTTCTGAAGTTTTTGAGTAAAAATATTTGAGTGAAAACTCTGTGTTCAAAGCCATTGAAGTAAGATTCCTTTGTTTTTAGATTTTAAGCTGTTTTCCATAAATGTCTCTAGTAAAATACATCTACTTTAAAGTTGAATTTGCATTAAATCAAGAAAGGTCTTTCTTTAATCAACAATTGTAGTGCCGAACTGATTTCCCTCAGTGCAGAGGCCCCTGTCAATTTGCTACTCACCCGGAAGAAGTCCCAGGTGGAGCCGTGCAGCAGAGTGCCGTACTGCACCTCCGTCTGCATGGCCAGGTCCTCCGGCGAGTTGATCGGCGTGACCATCCGCTCCACGGTGAGGAAGGCGGCCAGGTTGGCCGTGTACGAGGAGATGAGTATGAGGGTGAAGAAGAACCATGAGGCGGCTGCAATTCGTCCGGACACGGACCTCGGCGACAGATCGCACCCCTGCTGCATGAAGGCGGCCAGCGAGAACCAGAAGGCGTTCCACACACTGAACTCGTTCACCGCCGTCGAGCCGGAGCCGCCGGCTCCTCCGAGACTGCCGGCGGAGAGGGCCGCCTGCAGGGCTGCCGCTCCGGCTGCCGTCTGGGCGCCCGGAGTGGGCGGGCCGGGCGGAGCGGGCAGCGGGGCACCCCCGATAATGCCGGGCGGCTGCTGATTGGCAAGCTGTTCGTGATGTGCATGCGGATCTGAAAGAGGAATCAGCCCTGTGAGTTGGCCGCAAAACGAAACCGCAGACGGCAAACGCAGTCTGGTGAAGCACCGAAAACAAATCCTTCTAGTTCTAGACAACAGTAAGTATATTAATATGTTATATAAATATACATACATTGTTTTTAATTTGTATAATATAAAATAGTTTGCCACTAAAGTACACCAAATAAGCTAAGATGCAGATGCTGAACTTAGGATTTGGTGATCCTAATCAATACAAAACGTTTTTAGATAAAAATAACCTATTCTTCTTTCTGATCCCAAATCATGTTTATTCGCTCAGTGTGAACGGGAATTGTGCAGGGAGTAAGTTGCCAGTACGTGCCCATGTCGACTGTCCAAGTTTCAATCATTTCGTTTGGCTTGGCTTTTTGCGCCTGCTCTAATTGATATGCAATCAAACCCATAGCCAAGTCTCTGTTCCCCATTTGCTTCAATTGCAAAGCCATTGACTGTCTGGCGGAGATGTGATGACATTGCCGCTTCTGCCGCCCCATTCTCCTGACATTCCTGTTCGTGATGCTGATGTGGATGCTGATGTGGATGCTGATGCTGATTTTGCTGCCGGCATGGCGTGTACTTTCATGCTCCTGCACTCTGTGCCAGGTTCTATTTTGCACTTGCCTTTGTCGCTCTCGAAAGCACTGGGTCTCTGTTTATCTATCTCCGTTTTTACACTGTCTGCGAACGCTGCCTGCATACAAAATGTTGTTTACTTTCCGCTAAAATTACATTAAGGATGTTTTGCAGGATGTCAATAGATTGTTATGAACAGCCACTCCACATCGCCGGTCCTGTTTCTCTTTTGGTCTGACTAACTGCCAGTTCATATGTGTTTCTGGCTCCGATTGTCAACTGAATTCCTACAAAAACAGCAGTGCCAGTGAGGCAAATTGAATTGATATAATTGAATTTCCATGAAATCAAATGAAATCGAATGCAAAACAAGTCGAAAGTTGTAGCAGATGCATACAATTACGAGATTTTGGGTCTTCCGCCTGGCATCCGTTTTCCTTTTTTTTTTTTGGCTAACACTGATATCTTAGCACGGTGCACTTAAAGAAATTGTGTGCCCTTATGCAAGCTTCGAGTTTCAGAAGCGGTACAATAAATGCTGATATATTTAACTTAAATAACTTAATTCTTTTGCGTCTCCCGCTTTTAGTTTGTTGAGGAAAATCAAGTAATTTTAAGAGAAAATTTTGCAAGTTACTGTTTGATTCACATTGTATCACCATCATTACTTTCCTAAATATTGGTAAATCTTTTCTAAGTTTTATCATATGACCTACAAAGTTTTAAAAATATTAGCACTCTTTTCTAAAATATGACAAAAAGTTGAAGTAAATCTAAGACGCGAAAAATTGTAAAAAATATTTTTAACCAAAGTAATTGTAAAAATGTTCAGTGGTTATGCATGCCTTAAGTCATAATTGTTTCCCATAGAAATATGAATACTCATTTTCAATGAATTAAGCTCTGTCATACAGTTGCAGAGCTCCTTTTATGAAGGACCTCTTAGGGTAGGGAAAATTATTCAGCTTTTTTTCTTAAGCAAGAGCCCCCATTAAAACATTTTTGCTCCTATTCCAGCATGAACTTTTCGTGAGCGCGCAATTTAATTCAATATTCAAATACCCCAAGCTGCCAGCCAGGCAACCGTGGTCCTCTGTTTTAGTAACAAAAAAAAGTGAACAGGTGTGTGGGTGCAGGTACACTTACCTGGCGACTGTGATTGCTGCGGCGGCTGTTGCACGAGCCGCCATTCATGTGGTGAGAAGCGCGACACAAAGAAGAGCACGATGCTCACGCCGATGTAGCTGAAGATGACGCTCACCTGTTGGCAGGAGAAAGGAAAAAAGAAAGTTGCAAAATGAAAGGTGGTGAGTAAACATGAGACGCTCGTGACACGGAACATGGAAGAATGGCACCAGTGCCAGCAGCCACTGCGAATTTACCGTCGGCTGCTGCTTTTTTTCATTAAATTTTCTTAGCTAATTGAAGCGGAAGCGGCCGGGGCTTCCTAGAAAATAACGAAACATTAACCTAATGGAACGTTGGAGAGGAGCGCGGAGTGCGGAGTGCGAAGGAGCAAGACAATAGCAGGCAAGGACATTGACAGGAGCAACAGCAACTCTGCTGTCGGCAACAGTTGCTACTGTTGGTGTTGCAGCACCTACACAGACAACAATTTCTTTTTTGATTATTTTATTGAGCGCAAAATAATTTATTTGAATTTTGAATTAATTATTTACGATTTAAGTATTATGCCTGATGCACAGCACAGCTGGAGGGAAAATTTGTGAAAAAGTGCATTCGAAAGTACATACAAAATCATTAACAATATCTGCGTAAAGTATAAAAACTAAAGTCAAAGTCCTTAAACAAGTACTACCAATAAATATCTGACTATTGAATATAGATCAATTCATAATTTATTTACAATAAATATTTTATTTATACTAAACACCGCAGTGTATGAAAATCAAAGTGAAAAATACTTAAATTGAGTTCAAAATATGTCAGCTGAATATTAAACCTAAAAATTCATTTATAGACTTTGCAGTATGGTTGACCCTTTTCTTTCACTTTTTACGTAATATTCATTTTTGTAAGCTAATGTAAAGATACAAAAAATCTGTAATTAACACAATTTGGCTATTAAAGAAATAAGTATTTCCGACATTTTTAGATCCGGCTATTTCCCCCAGTGTAGGGCTTCCAAGTGTTTGTGCGTCTTTGTGCCGGATCTGTCGGCACCTGAATGGGTGCCATGGAGAACGCCTTTGTGCGGAAGGAAAGGTGTGTCCTTGTCGTTTGTCGCCGCCGCTTTCATATGCCTCAATGGCTTCACTACACACTCTCACACTCTTCTAAATGGGATTGTGGCGCTTTGTTGCTGCTTTTCAGATTGTGTATGTGTGTGCAGCTAAAATGCTTCATTTAATTTATGATAAATTTTTTGTAAAAGACTTTTTTATTAGCTTGTTAACTTTGCGCCTTGGCTTTTGCCTTTTCTTTTGCGCCATACACTTTCGCTTCCTTACTCGGAGTTCAGTTACTCCCGACCCCTGGAAACTAATTTGCATTTGTAATTTTTTAGCTCATGTCAAATTACGCATTAGCTTTCACTTTGGCGCGCTGTTCGCCGACTTTTATTAGCATTTAATTTTCCGTTTGTCGCGCTGTCAACACTCTTTGACTTTCGTTTCGACGTTCGGATTTAGGCTGTGCCCCTTTTTTTATGAATATTTTATTGTGCATAAATTTAACAGCCTCTGTCGTCATAATTTTTGGCATTTACTGCGCATTAGTGTCAGTGGGTCGTGGGTTCGTGGGTACTCATCTAATTTGTTTAATTGTCTAACCAGTTATCCTATACCCCTGACTTTTAGTAGTTGGGGAAGGACGCCCGTGTGCAACATAAACATCAACTAAACGCTCATACAAATTTGATGGCTTGCCATTACTTAAACAAGCCCCGAGCACCAAACTTCGGACCAGAGACTAGCGCTAAATTTAAAACTTGACGGCCACGTAATTTTGGGAAAACTCCCACCGACTGCTGCTGTGTTTATGCGAGTAATGTTAAAAAAGGCAAACAGTGGGAAAAGCACAAAAAACTTTGTCGTTTACTCTATTAAACTTTGGGAGCTTACGTGGTGCCAAGTTGAAGCCGAAACCAGAAGAAATAAATATACAAGTCGAAACTTTACGGCAAACTTTGCCCAAGCAGCCTTCTACATCATTCGACGAGAGGCAAAAAAAAAAAAGTCCCGCGAAAAATAATGAAAATAGAGGAAAAAATTGGCGAGCGTAAAAATTACCAACGGAAACGGCGGCGAAACAGAAACAGAAATGAAGAAATTGTTTAAAAACTTTACTCATTTGTATGCAGCGCAATTTTTGCAACATTTTGACTCGTTACCAAAGTGAAAATAAACACATTGCGCTGTGTGTTTAGTCGGCTGAAAGTCCAAGACGGTTTTTGAGACAGGAAATAATTAGGAATGGGGAGGCAGTGCCAAGAGCCAAGTGCTAGCTGGCAATTTCAATAGTAGCGGCTAAGTTTTGATTAAAATGTTCTCGGCTTTAAGGATAATCCACCCACAATCGGGAAGGGCGAGGGAAAATCCGCAGCAGTGCCAGCATCTCGAGTTGCATCGCTTCGCTGGGTGCCAATGAAGCAAAGTGCACGCATCCAAAGGACAAGGTGATTGGGGAAAGGGGTTAGGGGATAGGAAAACTCGGGAAACTCGGGAAACTCCCAGCATATACGCACCCAAATTTCCTGTGATAAAGGATTCATGAAGCTGAACACGCCGGGCGTCTGCTTCACTGGCTTCTTAATCATGATGGAGATGCCCAGCGACATGAACGGCTTGCTAAAGTCGATGACACGTTCGCGTTCGGCGGTAATCGTCATGGCGGCAATCGCAATATCCGCTTCCTGCAAACGAAGGAGTTCAGTTGGATCATGGGTCAGAGGGGGCGGGAGGGGGAAAGGGACACTCCGGACGGAGGAACTCACCTTGCGCACCAGCTCCCCCACCATTCCGTCCCAGCCCCCGTGGGCGCTGGATTTCTCCGAGCCGTAATTGCCATCCTTGACCAAGCGCAGCTCATCTGCAATTGACACACAGGCAAAAAGGGGGAATATATGTTATTGATAATAATAAAATATATTATACGTTTAAAATACAATTAATTTAAAAAACAAATTTTGTATGTTTTGATATCAAGAAGCATTTATTTAACAAAATAAAACGTTGAAACTATAGTTGTTTGACATAAGGCTTATTATTTTAGAAAAGCTTTGTGGCACTACTAAATGATTTAAAAGATATGTTAATTTTTTGAAAAAAAATAATACAGTGTGTATTGTCTAATTCAAAATTTCACTAAATATGTTAGTTTAAAAATAAATAGTTTTAAAACTGATTTTGTAGCTATAAATTGGCGGGTGCTGGTGAACATTACGAAATGTAACTTTTTATTAAAATACAAATTAAATTAATCGCAACAAATTCAGTATAAAAATTTGCTTCAGTGCACCAAAACGTATATCGCTGGCGGAGAGCTTACACGCCCGATTAAGCAGGGCATCGCGCATCACGCATTCACTTACAGTTAATGCCCAGTTCCTTGGCCAGCAGATCGGCGAGGTCCTTGCAGTAACCCTCGAAGCGCTCGTTGCCGTGCAACTTCTCGTTAAACGCCTCCTTCTTCAGCATGATGTAGGGCTCCTCCAGGACGGTGGTCACTATGTAGGTCCGGTTCTTCTCGAACTCCACGTGCGGACGCAGTCGGACGTACTTGGCATTTAGTGGCTGCAGCCCGGCATCGTCATTCCACTCGGCCACCTTGACCTGAGTTGTCAGAGAAGAAGAAGCCCCAAAAGATTATAAATTACTAAGGTGGGCAGGCCATAAATAATGCAGCCATCGACACCTTGCTCCCCAAGAGGGAGCAAACCGAATCGATATTTGCCTAACTTTGCATTATTTTCTGTTTTTCACAGTGCTAACATTTAGATAAGCGTTGTTTACTTGGGGATAATTCACAAAGATTAATTACTTTTTATGAAATCAAAAATGTTAATTACAAAATGTAGTCAATTATTTTCAAAAGTGAAATCTACATACATTCAAAATGTAACATTACCAAATATTTAATACTTAATTAAAAGTGTGGAACATATTTTGTGGCAAAAGCTTGTTTATAAATAGATAGAATTATTTCCTTTCCTAATTAAAGTCAAGCTAAAACTACTGCCTAGAAGTTGCACAGGGCAAACGGATTTAACATTTTCCCGGATGGCTGGGAACGCTGCCGCGGACCATTACACTCAGCCCCAAACAACACTAGACAGCAAAACACATACCATGGCGCTGTTTACTGTCATCTCGACGACGTGCAGTGTGTAATTGACGCGTCTGCCGTCATCGTTGAATTTGATGTCCCCGGTTAGTCCCTCGATTTCCACCTGCAGGGCGAAAGATACCAAGTGGAATGTTCAGTACAGAGTGGTTACATTTAGGGGGTGTGTGCTTAATTGCTTTGTCAGTTTTCCCGACTGGCAGGTGTATCGATGTCGTCGATGTCGACGATGTCGGTACATTGTGTCCACATCATCTCGTCGTCTGGGACATGGATGCCCTTACTCACCTTTCTCAAATAACGCGATATTTTATCGCCGTGCTCCCAGGCATTCACCCAGCCCTTGGCCGTATTGCAGTCCAGTGCCCGCGAGGCCATGCCACCGGATACGCCGGAATCGCTGCCGGGAAATCCACCGCCCGCACCACCACTACCACTGGCACCACCGCTGGCATTGTAGTTGTAGCCGTCGCTGGACGTCGAGGCCGCCGCCTGGGCCACCATTAGCGTCTGGCTGCGGCGCTGAACGTTGTTCCGGAACTGGTCCGGCTTCTTGCGCAGGATTTTGTTGAACGCTTCCACCAGGACGAACACCGCGTCGTACATGAGCGCCGCCTGGGCCTACGTTTCGTGAAAAAATTTATAAATTGAAAGATATTTTAATTAACAGTTTTAGAAAATCAAGATTATAGCATGGGTTTTATTGAAAATGTTACAGAAGTTAAAGGTTAAGAATGGCATCTAAGCTTTATAATGCTTTGCATCACAATGAAATGGAGGATACCTTTAATTAAAACTTTAAATGTTGTTATTTTAATAACGTTTAACATTTAAGTTGATAAACTTAAGCTCCTGATTTTTTTGTTTTTTTGGCATTCAATAAATATATTTCTCAATAATCAATTTAATTACAATTGTATTCGCTGCGATTTTATTTTCATATATTAAAATACACCAAAACCCTTCAACTATAATTATATTTTCGCTATACGCTTTCAATGCCGGTTTAAAGTTACATTTTTTGTATGACTAGAGGCTTAGTAGTTTTTATTTCGGGATAAGAACAGATAAGTTGTTTGCTATTTTAGAGTATAGTTTTATAAAAAGCAATTATGAGCGTTAAATTTACCTAGTTAAAATGGATTTCGTCAAAGTCATTCCTTTTTTTTAGACCTTATATCTCAACTATTATATTAATTAAATTTTTATTAATTGTGATTTGTTTTTCAAGCTTTAAACATTTTTTCCCACTAACACTTTGTTAAAGTCTTTCAATACTGATTTCAAGATTAATTTTTTTATGAAAATTTTACTAAAATGATCATGCAATCAGTATAATTAATTGCAAATTTTATTAATTGTTGTAATTTTTAGACCTAATATACAGGATTTTTAAATTATTTTATGCTAAAAATGGATATTTTTTTATTAGAGAAAAGTTAAAGTTGCTAGAGGAGCACGGGACTTGGCTATGAACCGTATCTAAAAGGATTGTTTTGGGAATAATAATAATATAATTCTCGAGGAAGCGCGATGATAGTCCATAAAGCCCCTCTCGGATTCGACACTGGTGAGGTGGTTTAATGAGTGCATTACACGCTGTTATTCACAATTTTGCCAGCCATTGCCCTCTGGGGCCGAGCTATCATTCGCCTTATATACCCCAACGGGGCAGGTGCGGCAGGTGGGGCAACTAGGGGTTAAGGGTTAAGCTAGCCCAAGACCCAGCGGGTCTTGATCCACGAAACGTGTCGCACATTAACCCAAACAACAGAGCGGGGCAAACTTTGTTTTAATATTTAACCGCCGGCTGGGCGAGTTCTTAAACTGGCCTACTGGCAGTTGGGCAAACACGAAATGAGCGAAAGGGAATGCCACACAAAGACTTTAATGTGAATTTCCCCCAGCACACACACGCAAGTCAAATAAACAAACAAGCGCTGCCAAAGAGAGCAGCGGTCCAGAAGCTGGACCGGAACGGACCGAATGGAAAGGACAGCGGACCAGACCGGACCGAACTGGACCGGAGAGAACTGTCCTGCAGCTGAATTCAACTAACGTTTAAGCGCCACAAAGTGAAATCTTTGTCAACAAGGATAATGCCAAGGAAATACAAATATAAACAGCCAGCAAGCGCAAACTAAACCAACTTGCTGCTGTCGCAAGGCTGTCTTTTTTTACACTTTAACAAATCTTTACAAAAAAAACTAACAATAAGGAAATATTGTTAAATAAATAATAATATACCAAGGAATATTATAATTTTGTCAACCTTTTCTTTTCTAAATGTTTTTAAAATTTCATTAATTACCATTACAAAAAAATTTGTAAGAATACGAAATGCAATGATTCTAGAAATAAGTGATGTATGATTTTGGGACTACATTTAGTTTAAGTTCAATTTAAATCTTTTCAATATTGAACTAAAAATCTGAACTATTTTTCAGATACATTTTATTGTTGCTTTGGATTTGTGGTCATTTGTTGGCAGTGTATTTGTCTAGGTTCTGGCAGCATTGACAAGGACAACGGAGCAGTTGCGACAAGGACACATGTGCCTTTGACTGCAAGTTGTGCGATGGCAATTTGTCTCCTGCCCGCTCGCTCGGTAAAAGTGAAATCTGAAATCTGTCGCAGGATGCGCATACTAGAGCGACTAAGAGGACGAGTATTTGACTACACGCAACACAAACAGAGGGACAAACACAAGCGCAAACAAAGCGCAGAGCAGCGACAAAGCGCCGCAAACTATGCTACACTGCCGACACCCGTCGCCCCGGCCAAACATTAAGTCCCCGCAAATATTTAACTGCCAAACTAGTGTGCTGGCCTCGCCGGCAGCGGCTACTCACCGAAATCGATTCACGGCCAGCGCCCACACTCATCTGGGGGTCCAGTCGCTTCCAGCTGTCGTAGAATTCCCGCACCAGCCGCCGGTTCGTGTCCACGATGCGAAAGCCCGTGATGTTAATGGCACCGAATTCGATTATCTCGCTCTCCCAGCGATCGTCCATGACCTGCAACACGGGACAATGGAATTGCAATTGGGTTGATAAAGGTACAGAGGGGGAAACCGGTAGTAGTTGGGAGTGTTTCCTCTTCTTTATGAGGCTTAAGCTTGAATTGTTATTATGGTCAATTTAAATATAAGATAATATTTTAACGCATTTAATCATAAAAATATAGTTTTAAAACGTACTTTATAAGATTAAATTAAATTAATAAATTTATTCAATTCTGTGTTTATAAGTAAGGGTTACTACACGCAAATAAAAATTGTCATATAAACTAAACTTTTGTTTCACGAATTTTAAACTTTTGGGTATAAATCATTTCTCAATAGGATGAGTATTAAATTAATACCTCGAAAGTAACAAATTAAAACATATATCGTTTAAAAAAATAAGGCTTAAAGCCACAGTTTTATGCTCTTCTAGATAGTAATTAATCAAAAAAATTTATTAACTTATTTTGAAGACACACATATTAAAACTTAAGTTTTATTTTTGGTAGTTATGAATATGTACTACGAATTGTTTACGCAATTTAATCATTCAAATATATTTTTAAGGTGTACAATTATTTTAACAAATAAATATGATTATATTATTATTATACTCAACATTGTAAAACTAATATCTAAGTTATTTTTTTAAAGCTGATACAAGTACAATGGAGAAATTGGAAGAAAGGTTTTATTTATTATGCCTTGTACCACACACCTTTCATTTAACATTCGCTTAATCGCAAATTAAGTTGTTATTCGAAAATTTATGAATTTTAGATAACTTAAATTTTTTAACAAAGTATATCATAACAAAAAAGCTCATGGTGTTTATAATTTAGGAAAACTAAATTGTACCTCTTTTGATAAGTGGCTCATATATACATATATAAATGTAATTTTTATACCCTTGCAGAGGGTATTATAATTTCAGTCAGAAGTTTGCAACGCAGTGAAGGAGACGTTTCCGACCCTATAAAGTATGTATATTCTTGATCAGCATCACTAGTAGAGTCGATCTAGCCATGTCCGTCTGTCCGTCCGTCTGTCCGTCTGTCCGTCTGTTCGTCCGTCTGTCCGTCCGTTTATATGCAAACTAGTCTCTCAGTTTTAAAGCTATCTGCATGAAACTTTCCCAAAAGTTGTCTTTCTATTGCAGGTAGTATATAAGTCGGAACGAGCCGGATCGGACGACTATAGCATATAGCTCCCATAGGATCAATCGGAAAAATAATTGAAAACAAATTATAACTTTGCTGTTTTTTAATTTTTTGTTTAGTTCTTCGACATATAGCAATGGTTAAATATTTCAGAATTATGGTTAAAATTTCATCAAAATCGGACGACTATAGCATATAGCTCCCATAGGAACAATCGGAAAAATAATTGAAAAAAATTATAACTTTGCTGTTTTTTAATTTTTTTTTTAGTTCTTCGACATATAGCAATGGTTAAATATTTCAGAATTATGGTTAAAATTTCATCAAAATCGGACGACTATATCATATAGCTCCCATACAAATAATAAAATTATATAAAAGAACAATCAAATAATTAAGCTGCAAATCGTCATAGCTTCAATGTTTTTAAACATATACGCAAGTAAATCATAATTTTAATGTTTTCAAAAATATTTAATTCTTGCGATAGCTGCAAGGGTATATGAACTTCGGCTTGCCGAAGTTTGCTTTCTTTCTTGTTTAAGTTGTTTTTGCAGATTATTTTATTTACAAACTCATTTAAAAATAATAAAATTGGTGGGAATAAACGAAATAAATAGGGATAATCGGAACATAAGTGGTTTAATTTATACCACTGATCCTGGTCTTAAGTATTGGTTTCGTCGTGGGTTTGTGTGGTGTTAACACTTACCAAACCACTCAGCAAATAGTGGTAGGTGCGACGGCCCAGTCGCAAATCGCGCACATGCTGGATGAGTATTTGCTTGGCCATTTCCGTGGGGCAGTCCAGGACGATGTGCTTGTTCTCGAACCGCCCGATCTGCTCCAGCGTGTGCAGGAACTCGATGGCCATGCTGACATTGGAGATGCGCTTGACCAGTTCCACTTGGAAGGACTCGTTACCGGGGCGCAGGCCCTGGTATATTTGCTGGAGGCGCAGCAGACCTGCGGGTTATCAAGTGTGATCCTGTTAATTAACTGAGTTTTGGGCAAATTTACACACATTCTGGGCCACCCGGACACGGACATATGGTCAGATACATAGATGCATTAGCAGGGGCACACAAATTACAGCCATCAACAGTTTTGCGAGTCGTTAGCCACTGCGAAGGAATAAGCCCGGGGCCCATGGGCTCCCAACGCCCAGTCCCTTATCAACAAGACGAACATTTGCAGCTCACAGGAAGCCCAGGGGCTGGAAGGGGTCAGACAAGGGGTTACGCCCATCCACCCGACGAGAAATCAAGTTCACAGCACCATTCACGCCAAAATCTGCTTATGCAGAAAGCTCGTTTAATGCGAATTTAACTAAATTCGGATATAAGCGCCTTACTTTATTGGAACCGATGCTAATCAGCTGATGTTATCAACTCAGTTATCTCGTTTTTTCAGGGAACAGTGAAAGCCCATTTGAAGAGGATATTTTTGTAACAACAATAAGGGCTTATAAATTGTTAATTTAGAAAAATATGAAAAAATATTGATTTACTTGTACATCTTTGGCATTGAAAGAGTAAAGTCTACCAACTATGTTTTAAAATCAAAAGACACGCTTTTAAGCTTTCAATTTGTTTAGTTTCTGACAATTATTTAATGTCATAAGCTAAGCTTATATCTAACCTGAATATGGCAATTTCAAAAGGTACCAATGATATTGAAATCTATGACACATTTATGATATAAGAAATGAAAGCACTTCAAAAAATGCTTAAAAACAAGTAATATATCTATATGAAAGTTCCAGCTAATTATAACTTAAATGTCCACATTTAAGTCTGTTCACTCTTAAACTCGGGAACATTTGTGCTTAAATTTAAATCCCTTAAAATCTGCCTTGACAACGCTCCAGTTTTCTTTGTCGCCTGCGCCTTGACATTTGCTTTGTCTAAAAATAGGCCATACACGCCCCCTTGGCAACCTCGCCCCTGCCCCCGTCCCCCGCACAAACAAAAGCCAAAGGAGCAAAATCAGTTTCAATTTGAAATTTACCGAAAACGGATACAAGGATGCGTACATGCCACTGCGTATCCAGCAGATACCCCACGACGGGTTGATGGGACTCGGGCCCCCGAATTTAGGCCAACTGCGGCAATGTTGGCAATGCCAGGGCCCGGGGCAAGGCCAACTTTTGGACCACTTGGCAGGGCCAGGGGAAGCCCAATTCCGGCATCATCGTCGGCCCACTGCCATCCTGATATGCGCACGAGAATCCAAATCCTCTGCCAGCGCAATTTGCATTTGTGCTTATTGAGTTATGGCTGCAACTAACTGCTTTCATTCGCACTTAAATCGAGCGCTGTGCTCGAGGCTCCGTCTCGGGCTTCTCCTTTTCGTCCTCCCGCAGGACTTGCCTTAACTTTACGAGTCAGGACTCAACGATTCAATGCGCTTGGGACAGAGGAGTACGTACAAACAGACAGCCAGATGATTTGTATTACAGGCTACGCAGCAAACAAAGGAAAAGGCGAAAGGAAAAATGTGAAGGAGCTGTGGAAAACCAAGGAAAAGCCAGCCAGGATGCCGAGGATGGAAAAATCTCGACTGGCTCTCGATGGATGTCGCATGAGACATGGCGGTGCAACTCCAATGCGCCTTCAATTTATGTTTGCGGATAAAATGGGATTTGCTTTTTGCTTCTGGCTTCTGCTGGATTTTGATTTAGACATTGTTGTTGCTGCTGCCGCTGCCGCTGCTACTGCTGTTTCGATTGCCACGCCCACTGCTACGCACGGGCGGAGCGTACTCAATACATTTCCAATTTGTTGTTGCTTTGATTTGCACTATGCGGGGGGAAGACGTATATATCCCGAATTTGTAGGGTATGCAGGGGTAGTTGGGGTAAATCGGAAGTTTGTCTATAAATTAAGCCTAACCATAGTTTTGAGCGAATATAATCAGATTGGAGAAGCTAAACTTAAATGTGGGTATATATTCATATATTATTATTAATAAAATAATAGTGTTTTAGTTTTATTAAAAATATTTTTTGCTTGAACAACAGAAAATGTCTAATCAAAAGTTTTATCTATTTCTAACCACAAATTTTAACGAAATTTAATGGAGATTATAAGTTAAAGTAAAAATTAGGTAGTTTCTTTTGTAAGTTTATTTAAAAAACAATTGTTTTTTTATAAAACAAGTAATGGAAAAGGCTCTTTGAAATAAATAAATATAAATATTTGTATTATAACTGTTTTAGATTTTAAAATAATATGTTACTTTTAAATAGAAAAAACTCTACACACTCATTTACAAAATTCAACCATTTGAATGGCTGAAAATGAATACTCTTTGTGATCGGTATATAGCCTTTTTGGGTATCAACTCGTCCTGAATAATATATAGACTCCCGACTCTATATCTTCCTGTGTAGATGTGTGTGTGGATGAGTGAGCGGCCATTTTTTGTGCGCTCCGCTCGTTGTGCAATAAATTTTCTGCCTTGCCTTTTATACAATTTCATTTGCTGGCACTTCCTCTGCCTCCCACAAAGCCCCCCATTCCATCTATTTCGCATCCATTCGCTTGGCTTGTGTTTGGATTTGATTTTTGTGCTTTTTTCGATTCGAGATTTGCCGCCCGGATTTGGATTTGGGGTGTGCGTATGTGCGTGTGCATCTATGTGTGTGAATCGGAAAATCGAAAGTGTAATTGAAGAGCATGCTGTTGCGGCCGAGGATTTTGTTTTATTTCATTTTTGATATCAAAACATTTTTGTGGCTCGCCTCGCATATAATTCGAGTTTCCCGATCACCTCCTCCTCCCTCCCGCCCATCGACTTTATGCCTCGAAATTGGCATGGCATCCCCACCAGAAACCAGTACCCAGAACCCAAATCCCAATTCAAGTCCCCATCCGTCCGTTCTCGTATCTTTGTGTGTTTGAGCATTTCCGTTGAGTTTTATTGTTTTATTTCGAGCTGTGGCCGGCGCTCTTTCATTTTCTTTTATGTAACGAATTTAATTCACAATTATATTTATTTTTTGTACCGCCGGGCCAAATTCAATTTGTTTCGAGCAGCACAAGGCGAATTGGAATTGAATTTGAAAAGTGCCAGGAGACGAAGATTGCAGAGCTCGCTGCCACTCAATCTGGCCACTATCCACTATCTCTATCTCTCCAGTGGCTATGCAAATCTGTCAGCCACAGCCACGCCCAACTTTCACTCGGATGCGAAAAGTAAACAAGACAATTTGTTATGTTAAACAAAAGTTAGTTTTGCGGAAATGAAGTTTTCCTGCCATCGGTAGCGACACCAGCTCGCATAAGCAGATGCAAAAGATACACAGATAGTCGTAGTCGTGCTCGGATACAGAAAGAGATACGGATATGGACATCAGATATCACACACGGCTAACAAGTAAGACATTTGCTAACATATTTTATGGAGAAACTTGATGGCGGGGGGATGAAACGCTTGAATAGTAGATAAACAAATGTAATTACTATGGAGAAAGTTGGGAAAAAGTAATGGCCACCGGGAAACACGGCCTGCCACCAGCCGCTTTTCATTTCCCGATTGACTGCAAATCCAAACATTCCATAATTTATGCATTAACTGCTTGTAATTAGGGCACAGCAGAGGGCCACGCCCCAATTTAGCAGCTTGTTATGGTTTTTTACTGGTCCGCCTGTTGTTGCTATCAAAAACTTTGCCGCTATAATTACTTACAAACTGCGGCCTCGTTCGGTTACTGGCAACTGGGAAAATTATGCTGACAAGCTCAAAGGCTTTGCGCATATGTTTTCAATGGCCTCCGAAGGGGGTGGGGGGTGCAGAAGCGGGGAAAAGCGGCAAAAGCGGTGGCTGGCAGCATTAAATGTATCAAATAACATGAAAGTGAAAGCGCAGTAAACCCCATAATGGTTAAATTAATGGCAGTCAGCCGGAACTGGAGGCCTGAGCCTCTCCTTTTCTGGCCAAGGACGCGTCCGTTGTCTTAACGCAATTTGCGCTGCCATTTGACGCAGTTTATGCAAATTCTTCTGTGATTTAAATTATGTAACACTCTCTATGGCGGCAACAATCAGCGCTCGCTTATTATTCATGATGCCCACTCTATCCCAGATTCGTTTCAGATTTTTATATCCACACAAAGCACTCATATCGAACGTCGAATTGCCACGGAAGATACATATTTGATGGCTCCAGCCCAGGCCTTGTTGTCTCGATTTCGGTTGGGTTCCATTGGCCCAGAATCACAATCAAGTCTTTCATCTATAAACAAAACCATTTACATAATTCTGCAGTTAGGGTTCAAGGGTCGCATTGATTAGCCGTGGGGTTCAACTTCATCTTTAATACCTAGGCGGTGTCTTTAATAAACCATACTGGTCAGTCGAGTGAATTGCTGACGTATTCATTGCAGCATGAGCAAGCAGATTTTCACACGTCCTTAAAAGAGCCCACGCACCGCTCTGTATACTTATCTGTATCTGTATTTGTCTCTTGGCATCTGTATCTGGGCCTTTGTATCTGTGCTGCTGTATCTGTGAACTCTGCGTGGAATGTTTATTCCTTTTTTCTCGCCCTGGCCCCCGTAATAAATTTCATTTCACGGCAAGTCAATGTGCTGTTAACACGGCAATGGGCAGGACCACGCCTACTCGGCGCTTTCTCTTCTTTATTCCCAGATTCCTTCTTCATTTTCGGCAGCTGCCAGGACACACATGGCCCACATATATGTATATATATATTTATATATATCTATATACGTACATGTAAGTAAGACATTTGCTTTCATTGCAGACTGTTGATTGTATGCTTTTTCATGCCGAAATATCGATGGCAACGCGGCAGACTCATTGGGGTCATGGGAAATTGGTTTCTACCAATCTTATAAAAAGCTACCGAAATAACACTTTGCTCACACTCTCATAAAGAGGGGAAATTAATGATTTGGTGAGCCAAAAAAATCCGAATTAAAGAAGAGATTTCGCGATGTCTTACGGATCCTTGAAATCTGGCTGGAAATCGGCTAGCCGAGCATCGCCACCTGTCACTTTTGCCTGTACATGTCATTTGTTCTAGTGTCTCGTACGTGCAAATACTTTGCAATTCATTGGCACTGCCTGTCTGTGGGAAATTTGCTTATACGGCTCATTTGACGTGGCTGGCGTCGATGACTGGAAGCGGGACAGCTGCTCGGAGCAGTTAGCATGTCAAGTTGCCCCCATATGGAATGAAGTTATTTCAGCTCGCTTTGTGCGCTGCTCCTGCCATTTCAATCGGTTGAGTGGAAAGTGATAACATTGTGTTTTCTTTTACGGGGCGTGCTTATTCGTCCTTGCTTTAAATAATGAAAATAAGCAAAATAATAGAACTTGGAAGGCACAATTAAATCTCGATTGACTTCTTCTTACACTTTATTGAAATCTAAGTTCCATTCCTTTAAAAACATTGAAATTAATTATATTTTTAAATTATATTTTGAATAAATAGAATTTATTTAAATTTTTTTATGTACGAATACTCTTTATTTGAATCGATTTCGTTTTCGTTTGATAACCTCTTCACAAAATGCAAATAATCTCTAATAAGTAATAACTGTTTAAGTCGATCTAAAATCAAATCGCTTTTTTAAAACCATAGTTGTATGCAGCCTATATATTTGTTTGAACAAAATTTTAAAAGCCTTAAGTAATTAAGTAATAGTGATTTAATTCCAAACGAAAAACATTTAAGCCAAGATCCAATTAGTTCTTAATAATCAACAATATCACTTTAAATATTTGACACTTATTTATTTAAAACCTGCAACGGAGTTTAGTAAACTTCAGTTTAAGGATTAAAGGATAAACTCCCAAGGAATTTATATGTCGCAAACTTTAAGAGCGAATCTTGTGCGCGGATTTGTTTGATGACCTGTAGATGGCCCGCCCGCTTTTCTTGTCGGGAAAATCCAATAGCCGCAGGCGGCGCAAGTGTTTTTTAGTGAACAATCTCACACACTCGCGCACATAGACAGCGTAAATATAATGTGGCATAGCCGGGGGCTGGCACGTATTGGAATTTTCCGGCGACTCGACGAGCGTCGGGTAAATACAATAATTTCACAGCTAAAAGGAAAATGTGTGTAAGCCAAGTCGTAAATACAAGCGAGAATAAACTTCTAAGCCGCTGGCCCACTTCGCATGAATTAGATCCCGGCGAGAGGGGAAAAAACCCATAACAAAATATTGTTTGTGTTTGCATCGATTGTTGTTTCTGTTGTGATTGTTCTACACGCCACTCGAAAAATCGTATCTGAAGCCGGCCATTGCCCATAAATAGTTCTTTTTTTTCGGCCCATTTTGTTTTCTCCATCTTGCAAAGGCAAGGCGCAAAATGTTTTCCCTATTTCTTTGTAATAAACTCGTTGGCGCGTCGAATAAACAAAAGAGGAAGCCATTCCACGACAAAACAGTAGCCTGGCCAAAAACAAAGGCCGTTAAGGGGCGTGGACGGTGCTACGTGCCAGAAGTTGCCATGTAAACATGGCCATAAAGCAAGCAGCCGAGAAGGAAATTTGGTAAAAATGAAAAACGGCCCAGCAGTTTTGTCTACTCATATCTATTAATTGGCCTTAAAGCCATATGCAGGCAATCAGAATTTATTAAGCTGCTAACAAGAAGCCACAGAATTGATTGAGTGCCACTAAGCATTTGGCCCGGCTTAAAACAACCGATGAGCTACACAAACACACGCTGAGAGTGAAAGCAGAATGAGGGGGGAGATTAGCAAACACAGACAGCCGGCAGGAGATCATAAACTGGCTCGAATTGATTGAGTGGCGTTGGCCACCGCAAAAGATTTTCACGTGGCTTTCATTAATAACAATAATGAATAAGAGCCAGACACCGACCTCCGTTTCTCCATCCGTCCGTCGGTGGCCACATAAACCAATTGTCCGACTGCCAATGGCGCAAAATGTCAGCGAGGAAAGGAGCAGACGGGGACTCAATGCAGACGGCGGTGTCATTAAATTTTATTTATGCACTGGGTAAATGGAAAATGCTTGCAGAATCTTATAACAAAGCAAATTTACGCAAGAGTGAAATGAGGAAAGCACGACTTACAATTTCACTTGCAGAAAAATATTAAAATAGTAAAATGATGCTATAAGGTTGAAAGCTTAGTTTAGTTCTAGGAGATATATTAATCGCCTATTCTAACGGAATGCATTATTTATATACTTTTTTGGAGAAAGGTTAGAGCTCTTTTAAAATAACTATGCAATCTGTAAGAAACAATTTTCTAGAGTGTATTTATTATTGAGACCCCTCCCCAACAGCATAGTTTGCATAGATGAGGTTGCGAGAAGCGAAAACGCTTCCTATATAATTCCTTCTATAATATTTCTTTGCCATGTATTAGTATGCATGCTGGTTGTACTCACCATCGTGGGAATCGTAGAGATAAATTATTTTGCGCCAGCCATAAAACTGTATTGTATCAATGATGGCCTGATGATAATCCGGGCGCATGCTGAGGGCAAAGTCGAGGAAGCCAGACGATGGCGTAAGCACCTAAAACGCGAAAATTATGGAAAGCAGCCGCCAAATCGGGCCAGAAGGAGAAATGGGGTAGTGGGGAAGAGGGCAAGGACATGGCGAGTTAGTAAACATGAATCATTATTGAGTGCTCATTGTTGTTGGGCCCTGTTTTGGGCTCGTTTCGGGCATTTGCCTGGTTGATTTATAGGGCGCTCGGCCTAAACGAGGCCAAAAGTGTGTTATAAATTTTTAAAGCGCACGCACACAACGGGCGGGGCAGGACATCATTAGAAACAAGTGGCCAGGTTGCCCTGCTTGGTCCCAGCTCACTAGTATTTATAATGATTTGTACCTGGGCGGCTCATAAATATTTTGGCCACTGGCCCAGCTGTGTGCGGAGTGCCTTTTTGGGTGGGCCTTTCAAGGTTAGCAATTTATATTGCGAGCCAACAGTGCGTATGATTAATATTTCATATTTAAATAGGCAAACGACCTTGGCACTCGCTTGGCTCCGCTTTAATATTTATTAATGCCTTAATGGGCTCACCTTCTCGGGGAACCAGGGCGTCACGAAGGGCATCTGGAAGGTGTTCGAGTAGGAGTGCAGTGTATCGAAGGAGTCGGGCGAGACGGCGCCCAGCATCGAGTATACGCCCCGTGAGAACTGATTGCAAACTGCAGAGATTAAAGCGAAGGAGAAATGGGAAATAAATGTTTTATGATATTTTTTGCTCTTATATGCTTTTAAGCTTAAACTTTCGCAGCAAAATATCATCAATATTACTTATATATATATTTTTTAAATGTTGTAAAGATTTAAGATTCAAATTCCAAATAAGAAAATATAACAGTAAAATAAGTGTTTATAAAAGTGGCCAATAATTGGTAAGTAAATGTTATTTGTCGACTGAAGATATTTTTAAATTTTATTTATCGAACAATTTTGCAATATCCCATTGTTATTTAGAAATGAGAGAATACCAAATGCAAAATCAAATTGTATATTCTTACTTTCGAGTTGAATAGCAAAATGATAACAAAAAATGAAAAATAAACAAAAAGTAATGGAAGACTTTCTAAAAATGCGCATAATTAATAGATTTTCAGCGTAACGAGATATCTTGTGGTGTATTTACATTTTATACTGTTGCATGGCCTAACAATATTCATGGACGTCGACTGCATCTCATGAATTTAATTCAGAGATGAATCAAAATTCAATAGCTCAAATAATTGTTGCCTAACGAGAGTTTTGAGTTCTTGATTTGCCCCATAAAGTTATTGAGTTTCCCCACCCGATACTCACTCAGTCGTGACAATTTAAAGGCATCCGCCGTGTTGATCACATCCACGTAGGCCTGCAGCTCGAATCGGCGGGATGAGACGTTCAGGTTGTGATTGAGCATCGCATACTTGAAGGCCGACTGCACCTCGTCGGTTCCCTGCTCGAAAATGGCACCTGTTCCAGGTAGACAGGTTGAAGGCGACATGCAAAGATGTGTAAAATTGCTGTTAGTGCTCGACCCGGGGAAAAGTTTCGCTTTTTTGGGGATGCTGCTACTGCTCCATCGAAATTGTCAATTAAGTTCAAAGCAAAGGCACTTTAAACTTTGTAATTGCTTTTGCGCTCGAATTTTATTTGTGTTGTTGCTCTTGTAATTTTTTTTCTTCTCTTTTTTATTTTTGGGAAAACTTTGTTGCTGCCGTTCTGGCTGGTGTTGTTGTTGTGGTGGGCAATTTGAGCCAATTTTTAAGTGGCGTTTGCAGCAAGCTAATAAGCGTGGCGTTTCAGTTTTCAAAGTGGCCAACAAAAAAATTGAGGAATAAAGCGAAATAGAATGAAACTGACTCTTGGCAAACTTCATTTGGCAGATGATTCGCAACGAAATGTATATAACAAAAGATAAAAAAAAGTTTAAAACATTGTTGATTTACGAATGTTTGAATTTTTTTAATGCAAACTCTTAAAAAATTAATTGGTTTTTATGGTACATTTTTTACTTTTTCAATCTACAATAATCCTAGCCTTGGGATATATTCTAATTGCAGTTGTTAAGTTAAATGTCTTAAGATCCAAGTAATCGATATTTGCCTTAAATATGAGCTAGATTTCCAGAAGAATCCAATAAGTAAAAATTGTGGTAAATAAACTCAAGCATTTTAAAGCGAGTTATAAACAAGTTGAAGATACAATATTACTTCGCTCTAAAAGAACGAGCGTATTTCTTAGAAACTTAAAAACTTTAAAAACAAATTATTTGCTTATTAATAATGTTCTCCTTGAAAGGTGGTTTTTCCGAGTGTCAAAGAAAAGGGGGATTTTGGGGTCGTTCTTGCCATTTTGCAGCTGAGGCGTGTGCAGCTGAGCGGCTATAAAATAGAAGTAAGTGCCGGGACAAAACCAGGACACGAGCGGCTGCCATTGGGCGGATGCAGCTCGAGTCGCTGTCAGATGCATTGGGCTTACGGTTACGGTTACTCACCTAATGGGATTTTCTCGGTTAATGATGGCTGTGCGCTAACTCCCCCGCCGCCGTCCCCGTTGCCACCGCTGCTCCATGTTAGCCATAATAAAAAGCTTGGCCAAAGGCAGCTCAACCTTAAGCCAAAGCGCATTTTGCAGCCCGTTGATACTGCTGCTGATGCTGCCAGTGCTGCCGGTGTTGGCGGTGCTGCCTTGTTGCTATTGCTATATCCTTGCTATATCCTATTCCTGCGGAGCAGGACTCCACTAGTTGTTGCTGTTAATTCCGCTTTTCCCCTTATTTTCCGCAGTTGTAGTTGTAGTTGTTGTGGCGTTCGCTTGTCGTCGCTGGCATTGCGAGCATTTTGCCGCACTTAGCGCAGCATTTGCATAATTTGTGCTGCCTGCATTTATTTTTCGGGTCAGCGATGGAGAGGGCGAAAGTATGTTAAATATATCAGAAGATTTTCGGGAGATTTCGTTTTAGGTTATCATGCAAATTGCGTCCGTGTAAGTCGCTTAAATTTCTGGCTTTGTGTGCTTAATTAAACGTTTCCCTGCTTATTGGGGCAAATTAGTATGTATTTTTTAAGCCCAACCTTTGAGCCACCCCCAAGCTATTCACTTCGGCACGCGTTGGCCTGCACGTGTCTCCGACACCTGAAAAGTGAGAACTGCACTGGAAATAATATTTCCTAAGAAGTTACTGAATTGGAACTTTCCCTGAATTAAAGTTAATAAGCTTACGGAAAAGCGTAGAAATCGACTATATCCTAATTTCAGGCAAAAATTACGCATTGGCACTAACTTTGTCGTTAAAACAGGATTCTTATAACGGATTTTAGATAATAACTCTTATTTATTGACTTAAAACATTCCAACTTTCTTGTAAGCAGAGTTAGTTGATATAACGGAATAAACAAAATTTTAATTTAAAACAGCGAAGATAGAAATTTGTTTGAATTTGAAAACTTTCTAGAATTTGGGACTGCTTTGGGTAAGATTTCTGTCTCTGTTTGGAATGAAATAGACTCTTTAAAAAGCTTGTCAGATACCAACTTCTTAACATTTTTGAAAAATATGACAGATAAATATTATTTTTGAAGTTGAAAAGTTACAGAATTTCAGACCACTTTGTCTAGCATTTTCTTGCTCTGTAGCAACAGGTAAACTGGCAACTGGCACCTGGCACAATGGCAACCGACTTGGCAACTGTCGCCTTCCATTCACTTTCCGCTGAGGCTGGCATTTGTGCGAGTGTGGGTGCGAGTGTGTGCCCAGTGAACTGTATGCAAATATGTACACCTGGTCTATATGCAGGTGTGCGCTGCGTGTGCGTATGTGTCTTGCTGTTGTGTTTGTGCGTTGTCAGTGTGTCACTGTGCCAGCAGCTTGTGCAGTTATTGTTGCCTTCGCCTCCGCCTCCGCCCCTGCCATGCCTCCTTTTCCACATGCTTCCCCTGCCACGCCCCCTCGGCGCATATCCCCCAGTCGTTATCCTTTCGGTTCGCTGACTGTTTTTGTGCTGATTTTGCGCTTATTTTAAATGTCTTTTATGCATGTTGTTTTTGTGCGCTCCCTTTGCTGCTTTATTTATGTTTACGTTTTTGTTTTATGCCTTTTATTGTTAATTATTTAAAATTGCAGAGCTCAGGCTGACTGAGTGACTGCCCGCTTGGCTGTGTGACTCTGACGGTCGGTCTGTGGGTCCTTCCTCTCAAAAATGTCTGTTTTCCATATCCCTTTGGCCTTTTTCCCTGTTTTTCCGCCCACTTTCGAGCAAGCCACCCAAAAACGCACGCTTATTGGAATTTTATTTTTGGATCGCCGTTTTTTATGGGGGGAAATGTTTTTACATTTCACGTCTGCATTCCCCCAGGGCTTTAAGAATGGTTTAATTTTTGAAATTGTTTTTAAATCGGCTTATTTGAGGTATGCCGCACACAGCATGCCCATTTGTATGAACTTCGTTCTCGTTAACTCTTGAACGTTGCTGGGTTACACGAAATCGGTTTTTGTATTTTTCAAGGATAAATATTCATAACTTGGGCATTGTTTATCTGATTTCGGTTTGGGGCAGATCGATTTCAGTTTACCTTTACTATTTCTGTAAACTTATTGTATTACTGATGCATGCACAGAATTTTATCTTTACGAGTATGTGGGTAATGAATACAGAGGGCTTTTTTATTTAATAAAAATATAAAAGTTATTCGAAATATTTACTTTCTTGATTAAAAATAGTTAGGAAAGCGATAAAAAAAGAGTTAAATGGTTCTTTAAATGTTCTTTAAATATTGTATAATATTTCATTTAATAAAAATATATAAGTTATTCATGCTGTTTATTAGTTATATGCGAAATATTTATTATGTTAATTAGAAATGCTTAATTAAAAGTGAAGAAAATGGTTTTCCCAAGTAGCGTTAATACAAAAATTGTTCGAGCTAACTAAGTTATCTTTAAATTCTAAATTTCAAAGAGTTATAGATAGAGCCTATCCAGAGTTCGCTCCCCTGTACTTGAAAAACTTTATCCTTTGAAGTTTGTTTTGCTGTTTAACCACTCCTTAAGCGTATCAGTAGCAGTAACTAGTCCCAGGGGCAACAAAAAAGAGAACCCTTTCTCTGCGACTGGGCCCATTCATTCATTAGGCAAACATTGACCGAAGCAATCTACATAAAACCACTTGAGCGAAAAGTTGCAGTCTGTTCAGTTTCAGTGTCTATTTTAGCCGGGCCCATAAAAACCAGAGTCCAGACCCGGATCCGGGTTCGAGTGCGAGTCCGGGGATGAAACGCCGGCGACAACGCCGTGGAACGGGCTTGCTCATCGCGAACGGGATTATTTAGCGCATTTAGAAAATAGGTTAACAGACGCTTAATATTCATATAGCCATGCCTCGAGGCACTGGCACTCGGAACTTTATTCGTTATAATGACGATGGCAAAACTAACGCAAAGTGCGACGAGAATTGCGACTCGGCCCGGCCAGCTTTCATTTCCATTAAACGAATGATCCCACTTAATTAAATTTAAATTAGGAGCCTAAAGTTGAACGTCACGGACGTTTAAGTGGATCTGAGTCGAATCGCCCGGGACTTGGCTTGTTTAGAGGAGCCAAACAAAAAGGCGGCCCAAACACAGGCGGACCCAGATAAGTGAAACGAATGAATGGCCATTCAGGACAGAGAAGCGGAGGAGCTGCATCGCTGTCCTGCGCAGGCACTTCCGTTAATTAAATAATTATTTTGTAGCCACTTGCTGATTACTTTTCGCCCGACTCTCGCCTCTATTCATTCGCAACTTAACACGTTGCTTGGACTCGAGATACTGCAAATACTGAGCCGGATCCGGGGCCGTCCTTTGTGAGTGCCCTAGTAATTTACAGCCAGCCAGCCAGCCAGATGATAGGCATCGCCCAAAGTCGGGACCTTCAAAATTTGCCGCTGAAAACGAACTCTGCCACAATGTTTTTTTTTCCTTTCCCTTGTCGACGGGCACGTGCGACCCGTGGATGGAAAACAAAACACGATGCCAGGTATTTAGCGAATCCGGCGAGATAAAAATGTAACAGGAAAATTATTAGGCCGCTGATAAAATCCATAATATAAGGCAGCTCATTTGCATTTCAATGAGGTGATTAGTATGCCAATGTCATGCCGAAAAAGCAAGGTAACATCCATACCCAATAACTGAACATATCTGAATTTTCAATTTGCTATCTCTTCTAATTTATATAAATGACACTTTATTATATCTGTTTTTTGGTTCAGCTGCCCCAAAAATTATATCTTTATCATGACTCTGTTTTCATGTTTGTATGCCAAATATTTACGTTGTAATTAGCCTAAATCCCGAGAAAAATTCGAAGAAATCGTGGCAATCAAAGACAAGTGCCCCGATAATTGATAATTTATTTTTCTTTCTCTGAATCTGAGAATTTCCCATGCCAACGAAAGCCAAAGTCACAAATAATGAGCACAAATTCCGCTGTTTATATTAATGCTCATCAATAACCAAAGGTCGGGGCACTTACAGAGTCACTAAGTCATTCCCTCAGCCAGTCAGTCATTCAGTCAGCCAGTCAGTCATTCAGTCAGTCAGTCAATGGGGCCTCGACAAATTTGGCAACTTACAAAAAAGAGGGCCGGGCATTTGTCGCTGTTCATTTGCGGCTTACAATTCCTTCCAGTCCTTCGGATTTATTTTTTCTTCCTTTACTTTCGTTTTGTTGGTGGCTTGAAAGTTGTTTGGTCACACACAGCACACTTAAATTGCGGCTTTTCTTGCTTAGCTTTTTCTTTTGGGCGAAACTTGAGGAATATTTGGGAATTGGCTCTTAAGCGACTTTTACATTTGCATAAGCTGCTGGCACACAATTTTAAAAATGATTGCCGCTACTTTATTATCACTTAATGCGCGCGACTCCGGTTCGGTTTTTCTTATTCTTTTTTTTTTTGCCCTGCGGTTTCTTTTATCACTCTCCTCGAATTCGGTTTTTTGGCCCGATCCGCTCTGAAGTTCGTTAAAGTCCGTCTTCCGATTTTCCGATTTTCCGAGTTTCCGATTTCCCTAGTCCGCTAGAGAGCCAGCATCCTTTGGACTATCCGCCGTAATCGTCCTGTTTGACGCGCGCACGACTGAGTACTGAGTTGGATGCTGAGCAGGTGTGGTTGAGACTCGAAATCCGGCAGGGCGACAAAGCTACAAAAGTGCGGCTCTCCCTCGTCATTCGGGAAAACTCGGAAAACTCGGAGGCTGTGCTCAGTGTACTAAAAAGGGCGGCTCGGCGAGAGATTTTCGGGCCCAGAGAGCGAGCGCACACGCAACTGTCTGCAAAGCGGCCAAAAACGAGAGAACCCGCTGGCAGACGCGTGTTTCTGGCAGTGTTACTGACCTAGTAACCGTTTTATTCTTTTTCATTCTTTAAATTTACTCTTTGCCAGAACAACAACAGCAGCAACAGCAATAACAACTAGAGTACATCTTGTCGTTCTCTGGTCGGTTGCCCTTTTATGGCCCGCTCGTGAGTGCAGCACAATCTGCAATTGTTGCTGTTGCTATTGCTCTTGGCATTTGGTTAGTTGTTAAGCCAAAGCCGAGTGTTAGCCGGAATCCATAGCCAGAACTTAGGAGCCGAGATAAATTAAAGTGCTTAAAGTAAGCCACTGGCAAACGCCAACAGATTCATATAAATAAAATAAAACTAATTTTTAGTCCTTGGAAAATCTTCCAAAATTTATTCAGTGTTAATTTTAATTTTTAAATAAACAGATTTAGAAATAAGAAACAAAAATAAACATTTGAAATTTTCAAAAACAACTTTATTTATTCTTTGTTTTTATTTTAAATATACAAACTCTTTTTGAACTTAGTTCAATCATATATAATAAATTACATGCAGTTTTGACTCTTAATTTTGTCTTACAAATATGAAAAGTGAAAATAACCTATTTTGAACAATTACAATAATAAAATAGATCAACCAATGGGGTACAGAGATAGTGCTGCTCGTGTCGGTATTTATTTTCTTATTGATCCAGTCAATATTCAGGTACACATCGGTGTACACAGATGGCTTATCATCGCCACATCCCACGATAACACTTACGATCCCGTAAACTGTACTGCCGTGCATCAAAGGAGACCCCCAATCCCCGACACACGGTTGCTGTGCTGTGACTGGGTTATCGTCTATGGCGCAAAGGAGGCCCATTGTTGGAACATTCAGAAGTTTGGCACATTTTAGGGAGTCTATCGTCATCACGTCGATATAGAGCAAGTAAGAGGCCATCGGACCGGCCTATATGAGTAAAGTTTCTAATTAGATCGAGTTCAGTTTGTGTTGTATATTAAAAAAAGTGTATTTTGTGTCCTGAGCAGAAAAAAGATTCGGATTTGATAAATAAAATTGATATTAACAAGAAAGGAATTCCACATCGGCATGTTAGAAACACGTTTGCGCGTAAACGGACTAACTGACACGGCAAGATCGACTTTCCAAGTTAGGCTGATCAAGAATATATATAATTTATAGGGTCGAAAATGTCTCCTTAACTTTTGATCGAAATTGTAATACGCTTTGCAGTTCTTTTAAATCGATACAGAAAGAGGCTTAACTGGCATATTGCTGAATTTCATAAAATCCTAAAATACTATTTTGTAAACTTTTATTTTCTATGGCCACTCGACAAAGAATTACTGTATATAAGAGCTAAGATACCAGAAAATAAGAAAAAAGAAAATACACTTAATGAAGTTGAACTTCCATAGCTCGAATTTCGTTAGCCCGAACTTGTTTAAAAGAAATGTTTGAACTCGAAAGCTCCATAATTAGAATCAATTCTGATAGCTGATAATGGTTTAAGTAATTATAACAAATTATTTCATTTAATAATTTCACCAAAAACTATGTCTTAATAATGCCAATATACTTACTTGATACACTCTTCCCCAGCCCATGACATTACATCGAAGACCCGGCGGAGGACTCTGAAGTGGCATCTTAGCTACGGAAATATGTTTACTATTTCTTGGCAACGCGTTCTTCAACTTTAATAATCCTATATCCTGTTGATTGACCTTTGTAAAGTTATCGGGCAACATTATCCGCTTTACAGGAGTTACGAAAGTGCTGTGCTTTATATACTTGAGTCTATTGACAGCCGCAGCAACAACGAGCAGCATTCGACTGGCATACCTAATCCTTCGCTTGCTGGAAGATTTTTGACTATAACTTATCCTTCTTTTTTCAAAAGCTCACCATAAACCCACTCAACAAGGCAGTGTGATGAGGTCAAAACGAAGATTGGAGACAGGATGACTCCCGAGCAGAAATGATTGTCTCCAAAAAACATTCGCGCAGTTCTTGTCCTAATAGACACCACAAATTGAGACAGTCGTATAGACTCTTCGTCGAAATTGGCGTCGGTCAAGCGCTTAGTACGATTTAAGGATATAGAAGGTGCATTGTGCGACGGATCTGCGCAACCCGAATGTGGCAAAAGTAATAAAAGGAGTTGTAAGCCCACAAAATTTTGAATATTCATGACAACTTTTGCAATGTTTATAGGCAGTAAAAAATTTATGAAAAAATTAAGTGACACTATTTTTAGGAAAGCCTGTTTGGACTAGTGGCATCATTTTTGAATTATTTGAATTTAAACAAAGCACTTAGAAAATTATTTATAATAAAACATGCTTTGATAAATTAAGTTCTTGGGGTAAATTGTTTGCAATTTTGGAAGTTAATTGAGTTCTTTGGTGAATAATAGTAGATGTTCCAAAAAAACATTTGAAGAGAAAGTTCAAGTGACACCATTTTTAGACAAGATAAATATCTTTCTGAAAAAAAAACTGCCATTGCACTTTTTATACTGGAATCATTGTTAACCTTACGTTAGGATAAAGTGTTTCTAATACAAGTTTCTCAAAAAATACTTATCGAGATGGATTTAGTTTAGTCACAAATTAGGTCAATCTCAATGACAATAACAACTTTTGTCAAATTTTCAAAGTCTGTAAATCTTCTGTTAATCATATGAGAACATTTTTTGCACGTATTCCATTTGTATCATTTTTACAAAGCTATCAATGAAATGTAGGAATTAGATTAACCATTTAAGAGCACTTCAAGAGAAGAAACTCAAACATCTGAAATGTGTTATACTTCGTTTGCATTTTTCCTGTGAATTTCCAGCTTGCCAAACTGTGCAGAATTTAGAGTGCCCCAGAATTGGCTGCAACAAAAGTGGAGGGATTAAGTAAGCGGCGGCAGAACAAACCGTTTTACATGGCAATTATGTAGGAACAAGCCTGGCGCCTGACCCCTGACCCCTGACCCCGGAATTTGGGCCGGCAGGAGCCGTGTAGAACTAGACCCGTTTCAGTGGCCAATTCAAGGATGAAGGTTCGTCCTGCAGGAGCAACATGTGTGCACGCGCCGCTGCTCATTGGAAATTCAATTTTCAATAAATGCACACAAATTGATTTCCAGCCCGGGGCCTTCGAGCGGAGTTACATAACACCACCGCACGCACACAGCTGCCCTGATACCCACACCCACACCCATACCAACACCCACACCCACTCATACACCTGCATTAAGTGTAAAACTTTTCAATTTACGTTCTGTTGTTTTTCAGCATCAAATATCCCGGGCTGTCAAAAGTATTTGTCGAGAGATTTTCGGCTCCACTAGGGATGGGCTCCGATCGCCGGCTCTTTTTACCTCCGGCGCGTTATTAGACTTTTTGTGCGCCACTTAAAGCAAGTCCCTTTCCGAATTGCGGATTTCGTAATTCGCATTCAGAGTGCCATTCGCCAGCGAATCGCACACCTCCGCCATATTCCATATGCCACACGTATGCTCGCTTATCCGCGCCTGAAATTCCGCATCATGCAGCGCAAACACTTGTTAATTACTTTTATTATATCCACAGCTTCACTTGCACAGTCACGCAATTCATCGGCTGCGGATCCGTATCCGGGTCGGAGTACGGGTCTCTGGGTACGGGTGTGAGTGTGAGTGGCACGGTACTGCGGCATTATTGCCTGTTGCTTTTGCTAGTGGCAAGTGGCACTGCCGCACCACAGCTGATGTGGTCGGCCGTAAACATGCGGCAGCGGATGAGTGGGCGTGGGACTCCGCCGGAGTGCGGACTCCGTGTTCCACACTCCACTCCACTCCGCGCCACTCGACAGCAACGGGTAGTCGTCGTCGTCACACACAAGTAATTGCAATCAGCACCTTGGCAACAAGCAGCTGGGCCAAAGTAATATAAAAAAAAAAGAAAACTGGGCCACTGACGTATTTATTTATAAGGCAATCCGTAACTCACAGTGCGTGCTGCCGTATATCTTAACACCTGAATGCCAAACGAACTCTTGGAACTCAGGCCAAGCGAGTGGATTTAAATTTATTGGTAAATAATGAGATTTCATTCTTATTCTCCTTTGATTTAAAGCTCGCTTTTGAACTCTTTTTGGCGTGCTCTAGTGTTTAATGGTCATCTGCTTGAAATTTATATGCTTATTAAGGGTTCTTTATTGTAATTTCTTTGGCGCACAGAACAAAAGGTCGTAAAAATGATAAAGGTGATATTTATACTTTAAAATACAAATTGCATTAATATATTACGAGAAAGTGAGAAAGCTTATTTTGAAGCTGATGTTAAGTGGCTCAAACTATTAGAGGAAGTCGGGTAAGTATCAAATTTTTTATTATAACAAAATTAAGTTACTACTTTAAATTATAAAACAAGTAAAATTATTTAAAACAAGAAAGGAAGGAAACTTCGGGAAAGCCGTTACAAAAAAATTAATAATAAGAAAAGTAACAATTTTGTTCCAATTATTTTTAAATATTCCGATGGTCTCCGTGAGAGCTATAGTATGTAGTCATCCGATTTTGATAACATTTAAACCGTAATTCCAAAATAATACTTTAAAGAATGATAAAAAAATGAAAAACAGCTAAGTTATAATTTCTATTATTACTATTATTTTAATTATTATTATTAAGACGGACGGACGGACGGACGGACAGACGGATCGACTGCTGAACAAGAATTTATATACTATATAGGGTCTGACTGAATAATAACCTCTGCAAGGGTATAAATATTGAT